CTTAAATGATTCCATTGCATAAGTACTCATTCCCTTATCTGAGACAGTTGAAATTGAGCTCAGGAGCATTCATATTACTTGTAGATGTTACTACACTTAGAGAAAAATAAATTTGTGGCAAATTCAAATGAATGGGTATGATTTGGAAAGGCACACACATCTTAATTAAAATGAGCAAAGCTTGTCGCATCAAACAAAAAAAAATTGAGGATGTAAAGGTGCTTCAGCTAAATATTTAGTTAAGGGTATGAATACTTATGCAATATACGTATTTCAGTTTTTTTTTATTTTTAATACATTTACGAAGTTGTGACAATTCTGTTTTTGCTTTGCCAGTATGGTGTATGGAGTGTAGATTGATGTGGGAAAAAGGTAATTTAAAGCAGTTTAACATAAGGCAGCAACATAACAAAACTCGAAAAAAAAAGAATACTTTTGCTAGGCACTGTATATATATATTTCAGTACTGAATACAGTGTATTAATTATTGACATTTCTCATGACCTTTTTTTTTTTCAAATTGTATTCATTTTTTCCCCAGCGCATCTTAAACTTGTGCATTGAGAAGTTATTATACTGTCGTCATGCACTCTTTGCATCAAAACAAGAGTGCAAATATCATGATCTAAACTGTTGTCTAGATAGGCAGACATTAAATTACTAAGTTTTAGAACAGAGGCAAACTATATTTTCCCCTACGACAACGTAAAGTGTTTATTCAGCTTTTCATTCCAAGACAGTAAACTCCATTCAACTAAAGATAAAAATAACTCTACTACTCATACTGACACCACCCTTCGACCTCTCTACAAAACTTGTGTAACTGCCATAAAAATCGACATGACACACTCATGAAGAGACACCTTGTCTGTAAGTTAAAACTCTTATTTATCCATGGGAACACTATCAAGCAGAAACAAGACTCCTTGCTGAGTACTTCTGGTAATCTTCCATCATAGGGAGGGTAGTTGTTACCCCCCACCATCAAAGGAGGAGCTCAATATCTCAAGGCTTAGAACTCTAAAACCGTGTTTTTACTGTCAACATGCCCCTACTGAGCGGCAAACGTTACTCCCCACCTAACATTGCTAGTTGATCATTTGCTTTTAACTGCCGGTTAGACTCCAAACATGATCAGTAGGGCTATATTAGGGACATTAGTTTGCAATATATCGAAATTATCGAAATATCGCAAATGCACATATCGCAATATGCATATCGCTACGGCTTACAATATTTGGGGCCATGAACAAAAGACAAAGAGAACATCACTCACTGCTCTTACCTAAATAACTTTTGTAGCTTAAATAAGAATCAGTGCATATTGAATTCATAGAGTAAATACTAATCAGTGTTGTATTTTTCCTTTTTGATTACACTAATGTTAAAATGACATTTTTACGTAATGCTTGAGTAAAACACATACCGTTCACTTTCAGAAGTTGTTGTAGGCGTGCTTTCTTCTCACAAAAAGTGAAACACGTATGCTAGTTATATTAGAATCAGAATCAGAATGCTCTTGATACATACATACATACAAATAACCATACATATATGACACAAGATAGTTATAGAAGTTCACAGAACTGACTCAGCAACAGCTGAGTAAAACTGTTTCATCTGAGCATGTGGCACTTTAAGCATTATCGTATCGCATATTGAATATCGCATTATTTAATGAGTTATCGCATATCGCATTTTTCTTCAATATCGCACAGCCCTAGTAATTAGTATTCCTCATGTCTGAGTAAACAGGGGCACTGGAAGGCAAAGCAATTTTACACAATGCACATTCTGTGTTTCTAAAAAAAAAAAAAAAGTATAATCTACTAACCGTTAAAGGCTGGAAAATTGCTTAATATCCTTCTACTCACTGGAGCCTTTTAAAATAGGAGCCTTTGTTTTCTTTTTTTTATTATTATCAATAACGGTTTTTGTTTCTTTTCTTAATGTCGGGAAAAAGCTGTCTGTCTTTCGCAACAGAGTCCCAAGCCAATTTCCAGCAACTTGTGTCGAGCCCCTGCACCAGAACAAAGGCTGCTGTGACTGTGGGGGGCGTGGCAGAGTCTTAACTTTGATAAAGAATATCTCTTTGGTTTTGAGACTTTAGTCTTTGCAACTTCAGGGATCGTATCTATGCACAGTCAGCTTGTAACACTCCAAAGAGAAAGGAAAACTTGAAATCGCATCATATGACCCCTTTAAAGGATGGCACTTCTTTGAAAAATTCTAACTTGCAGAGTCCAACTCAACTTACAATTAAACTTTTTTTTTTTAAGATTGTTGATCAAGTTACATTGAAATGTTATACTCTCAGAAATTAAGAACACTATATTTATATGCAGCTTAATAATGACATTAATGTGAACATTGCTTGGAAAAGAGAACTTTGTCACAACTGTAACAACATATAAGCATATACACTACTACCGTTCAAAAGTCAGAAATCAGTAAGATTTGTATTTTTTTAAGAAATTCATACTTTTATTTTTAGATTTTACTTTTACATCAGCAAGGACACAATCAATTAATCAAAACTGACAGTAAAGAAAAAAAAAATGAATTGTGGTTTTCACAAATATTATGCAGCACAACATAGATAATAATAAGAAATGTTTCTTAAGCACCAAATCAGCATATTAGAATGATTTCTGAAGGATCATATGACACTAAAGACTGGAGTAATAATGCTGAAAATTCAACTTTGCCATTACAGGAATAAATTATATTTTAACAAAACCATTTAAATTGTAAAAATATTTGACAATATTACTGTTTTTGCTCAACCTAGGTCATCAAAAGAGACTTCTTTCAAAAACATTTCAATAAAATGGGCTTGATGAACAAATAGATGTAAATGCATTTAGGCAGATCCAAAGCCATCTTTATTAAATATATAAATATATAAACGTGGTCATCCTAATTGATTGTTGGTCTTTCCTGAGCAAATGCAAATATTGTACATCTACTGCATCTCTGACCCATGTGAGGTGAAACTTTACCACATTAATAACCACATAATTCAGTCTTTAGGTTTGTGCATGATAAGAAAGGAACCTTATATCAATGCAACTATCATCTAAGTCATAGCATTAAAAAATAGTCTCAGCTCAGTGTGTGTAGGCAGTGAGATTAATACACTGTTTAATCCAGGGAAATGGTGTTACCCCTACAGCTAATTAATCCACTTTAAGAAGCAGAGCTGCAAGTGAGGGATTAGACAGGACAGAGAAAAGGAGCCAAACCCTTATGACTTTATATCTGAGGAATACAAAAGGAGAAATATTGCCTTTTTGTGGTCCACAAAAGCAAGAATGTCATATGGGTTTGGAACAACATGAGGGTGAGCAAACGACAGAATTTTCATATCTGGGTGAATGGGAATACGCACTGCAGACTAAGCACTGGAAGTGAGAAGATATGATTTATTGGTCCAGGGGGATGATGAATACTCCGCATGCTATCAAATAGCTTATCTTGCAATAATTCTCTCCAATGCTCTGCTGTGCTGAGAGTGCAAGCTGGCTTGATATACTGATCTGAGAACAGATCTGCCATTGCTTTTATTAGTGGTTTAATGATCCTAAATGTATGTAAGAGGGCAAGTGTCCTGTCTTGTGAGCTTAAACAGTAACATGAGATGGTACAAACAAGCTGTAGAAGTGACACCAGCAGCTGTTGCCCCTAATTTACCCTCTCAGCCGACATTCCCCACAGGGCCCTCATAAACAACTCTGTATTTCTTTTTGCCGGTCTTTCTTGTGGTCTTATTTCTCATCTTCTTTTCATCATGAGGCCATGTAAATACTGTACACAAAATATGCATGCAATAATCCTTTGTTTATATTAGTATTAGACAAGTAACCTTCGTACAGAATCAGTGTTTCTAAAACAACACAGAATGATTTTCTTTCAATGAGTCTATAAAAACTCCAGATTCCGGAAATACCAGAGCAACTGCTGATTAAAGAGACTTACAAGCTGTTGATGCAAAACAGTATGAAGGTGAGGGAACTCAGCTGAATGATCAATCACACAAGGGACAGTTTTAATCTTACAGAATATATGGAGAATTTCTATAACTGCATTTGGGTGATAAATTAACTTTAAAGGAACAGTTCGCCCCCAAAAATGAAAATTTGCTGAAAACCGAGTCACCTTAAGGCCATTCAAGATGTAAATGAGGTTGTTTCCTCATCTGAACAGATTTGGAGAAATTTAGCATTGCTAAACCTTACTCACCACCAACGGATCCTCTGCAGTGAATGGTTGCCGTCAGAATGAGAGTTCAAACAGCTGATAAAAACATCACAATAATCCACACAACTCCAGTTCATCAATTCATGTCTTGTGAAGCGAAAAGTTGCGTGTTTGTAATAAACACACTCATAATCAAGACATTTTAAACTTCAAACCGTTGCTTCTGGCTAAAATACAAGTCCTCTATCCATAGCAATGCTTTAGCAATAAAGTTGTCCTGTTAGAATCAAGAGAGAACACAAAGATCAAGCACTGTTTACAAGCAAAAACAGTTCTAAACAAATATGTCAGTGGATTTGGATGTGAGAGGACTTTCCACTGGAGAAAGCCTTATTATGGATTATGAACTGGTATTTTGGCCAGAAGTGACAGTTAAAATTCGTTGGATTGGAAAAACATTGGATTTGTTTCTTACAAACGCTGCTTGTCACATCACAAGACGTGATTTCACATCACAAGTTGTGTGGATTGTTATGATTTTTTTTATCAGCTATTTGGACTCTCATTCTGATGGCACCCAGTCATTGAAAAGGATCCATTGGTAAGCAAGTGATGCTTAATTTCTCAAAATCTGTTATATTAAAAAAAAACTCTACATCAAAATCTACATGTTAGATGGTCTGAGGGTAAGTAAATTGACAGCAAATTTCCATCTTTTTGGGGCGAACTATTCCTTTAAAGGACCAGACAACTTGAACTCAACTATCAAATATGTTGTAAAGCATTATATTAAGACTTACACTGGCAGATATATCATCTTTGTGGATTTTAGGCAGGATTCAGAATTCAGGAGCCTGCAAAACATGATGACTAATTCACATCTGTGTCTGTAAAACTTACATAATCTTTTTTTTTTTTTTACAAAAAAGTATTGAGGGGAACAAACATGCAAATCCAGCTGAAGACGAATCGCCTCACTATCTAGAATGCGTTTCCACATATTCTACCTGAATAAAACAATTTCCGGTCTTATCAAAAGAAAAAAATAATAATAATTAAGAATAATTGGAATCAACTACACTTACCACAAATGACCCATGAGTCATATCTGGCATGTGTAAAACTATTCATAAACATTAAGCACAACTCAAAGACAGGCTAGGTTCAACAGCTCATTTGCATGTTAAGTAACCTCAAAGTTATATTAGAAAAACCTGAATTTAAGTCAATCATAAGCATACAGCATCATACAAGCATATTGTACACTGCATTACAAAGCAGAAACATAAGAAATTACCACTTTGGTTTTAAATGTCAGCATGTTGAAATAAACTAAACACATAGTGAAAACAGATGGATTTGAGGGTCAGTTACCCCTGAATAAACTGCTTTTAACAGTGAGTGAGCTGTAGGCAAATGTTTATAATTTTTGAGCACTGCTCCACATAAGGTCACACAGCTGACCTCTACACCGTAGGGGGCTGTTATTTTCATTGTCTAATACCAAACAGCCAGGATGGCATAAGGCAAACTGTCATCTCTGGACATTGTGCACAAAAAACAAGTTCCTGATTAGTTCTTATTACGTGCCGTACATGTCGTTCAGCCAGTTGCACTGAAAAACAGCATGCACAAGCTCGGTGTATTACACCAGAGACCAGACCTGCCTGCTTGATGAAATGAGGGATGCAATTAAAGTAAACTAAATGTCTTGCCACGACAAATTAAGAAGAATGCTGTGGTTTGGATTTCTTTATAATATAAAGTTTACATGTGCACTTTGCATATTTGGTCAATTAACCTAAAATGTGCTTTATGCACTAAGAAGAAGAGTTTTTAAAAAGTAAGACCCAAAATACAGGGTTATCCCTGGATAGACCTACCAATGAAAGTATGCTTAAGCATTTTGTCATGCAATATCTCAACTTAAGGCAACTTTAAATCAAGTTTCAGTGTACCATAACTAAACATTCCCCAGCGCTGGCGTTTATAATGAAGTGCACAGATTACTATTGTGTTTACTTTGCGTAACAGAAGCACGTGGTAAACAAACAGTTGCGGTCAGGCCAGCACGCGCCTCGAACATTCTGCTCTCGCGCCTCCTTTTATTATAATCATGACGTCGAGAAGTTTGACACCACACGTGAATGAAAATTAACGAGCATTCAGAAGGGAAAAAAAACCCTGACGCAGTGGCAGACACAGCAAATACAGGCGTCAATACTGCTCAGATTCAGAGGTAACCCGTTTGAGTTCCATTCAATCAGTGAAACCACTGCTGAATACATTAGTTATAGCCTATTTGTGTCGGGCTGATAGGGTGTTTCTGCCGTCTATACACAGTAATGAATGCTCTCTGCTTGTAAAAGCAGAAGCATATATGCCTAATTGTAATTAACATGAACATTATACGCCTATTAGCGACATTAAACGCCGTGTCTACAACGGACGCGACAATTGTCGTGTCGCGCCGCAACAGCTAAAGTCTGTCTACACTTGACGCGACAAAGCGACCGTTGCAAATCATTTAAACTTTAGTCATAAACCGAACAAGGGATCAGTTTATTGTCGGGGATTTGTCGTGCCGCGCTGCTCCGGTGTAGACACGGTAGCTAATATCTGTTCTGCTATCTAAAACATAATAGGGGAATCCGACTCATTTCAACGAATCGACTCGTTCGAACAGTTAGTTTCAAATAATCATTTAAAAAGGATTCAACGTTCTTTTACGTCATGACGTCTTTGCTTCATCCCAGGGTCCCTAACAGCCTGCTGAGGCATGTAGCATGTATCACACATTTTGTTTAGAATTTAAATATAATATGCATATACATTAAACTACTAATTCTAATTCTGTGTATCTGAAAAGTGTATTCATGCCCAAATAAAATTATATTTATTAAAGCCAAGGCTTGTTGCTTGTTGATATAGCCGTCAACAAATTTTTACAATATTTCCAGTAAATTTTATATGTAACGTTAATATTCAAGTTATTTGGCCATTAGAGTAACTTTTATAGTTTTCGTCCCATCAGTGAAATGCTTGGTTAAATCCAAATCCTCGGATTCATAATCCAAGTCGGATTATGAATAGGACATTTTCGAAAGAAGCGGGTCTTGCTCAATGAGTCGGCGAGATGTCGAATCACGAACCGTACGGATCGATTAATTACGATTCCTAAAAGGCCGGTGTTTTGTGGAACGGTTCAACCGAAGCATTACAGAGATCCGACTCAAATGAACGATTCACTCTCGATTCGGACACATTAACCAGCGGCTAACGGAGCCTACAACGTTAAAAGACGGTTAATGTCTTTTAACTTTCGGTTTGGGTCTCGCTTTAATCGGTGCACTCGAGGAATAAACACTGCCAAGGAAGAATGTCTGTTTATGATAGTGCAACAACCACATGATGTATGTATTTATTGCTCATGTGGAGGTGTAGTATTATGAACTTACCAGCCGTTTCTTCGCCACTCCTCCCTCCTGCTCGATCACAAACCCAAACAGATGAAAGAGCTCAAATTGCGCCTCCGCAATATAACACACCTTCTACCTTCTTCTAACAACCGACCATAAATAAATCAAATCAAGCCTTTAAATGTGCTCAAATCCGTACGCATTATTAACAAATCAATAATCGTATAAACACAAGCATCGCAGGCTGTAAACTCACTGATGCTCGTAAAACAGAAAGTAAATTCGCTCTCCAGATCGCTTGAGACTGTAGTGAGATGTGCGCGCTCCTTATATAGGCTACGTCTTCATGGGATGGTCGATTGAGATATTTGGTGGTAGATGTGAACTCTGCACGTAGCTCACGACAAGAGCAGGTCCCTCCTCCTTTATCACAGAGAGAGAGAGAGAGAGAGGGGGGAGAGAAAAGGGAGTTGAGCCTGGGCTGTGGGGAGGGATGTGGATGCTTTCACAAAGGGAAGGGCAGATTCATACATTCATATGTAGCTCCTTACATTATATCTACATTATATCCTCCAGAGATCCAGCAATTTTTTTTTCTCAGTGTAATGTACATATTTTATATTCTTATATAATATAATATAAAACACCTGAAACCCTACATAGGAGAAGTGGTTTGGAGAATAATATAATATAATATAATATAATATAATAAAACACCTGCAACCTTAAATGGGATAAGCGCTTTGAAGAATGATTAAATATAATATTATATAACATCATAATTTTAGTTTTAGTTTTCTTTTTCTTTATCTATATATAAATAACATTAAAAAGTTTTGCGTTTATACACTATATAAGCGTTCATATTTGATGAATCTAGGGTAGTCTTAGAAAGTTCGAATCGGTGCCCAGTGCAAACCGATTTGTCTCTGGAAAGCACAGTGAGTGGGCACACTTGGTTGAGACATAGTCTGTGCGCGTGTGCCAGTGCATGCCAATGAGGTGCCACTGACAGACACATATTGTACCAGAATCATGGGAACCCATGAATAGCTGCCTGGGGGTGGGTCGGGAGACCAGGATGGCAGCGCTTACAAAGCCCTATTGAGGTCGGCACACCGGGCACTAGACTGGCACTGAATCAAGTGACATGTGAGGGATAAAGATTGCAAGGAGGCAGGAAGCATTATCCTTCATACAAACCGATGAAGCATAATGGAGTATTACTCTATGCATTGTATATGGACCTGTAGGATGACAGTTAAAGGGGTCATATGATGCGATTTCAAGTTTTCCTTTCTCTTTGGAGTGTTACAAGCTGATTGTGCATAGATACGATCCCTGAAGTTGCAAAGACTAAAGTCTCAAAACCAAAGAGATATTCTTTATCAAAGTTAAGACTCTGCCACGCCCCCCTAAAACGGCTCGTTCTAACACGCCCCCACATATCTACCTCACTATGTGGAAATATTTGCATAATGCCGCCCAAATGTGCAAGCAAAGAAAGAAGGAGTGGTTTCAGTACCCGCAGTTAGTGTTGAAGCAACCATGTCAGGGAGACGCTGTGTGTTTAAGTGCGAAAGCAAAAGCACTTTATTTGGATCACTTACAACAGAACAGCAATGCATTTTATAGACGACCGTTTCGTGAACCTAGGAGAAGAGGTAATTC